TCTGGAGTGTGAGGTGGCGAGGTGAGATCCGAGATGCCATTTGTGGATAGATATGTTGCCAGTCCAGTGGATTTGGCGACACCCATGTACTCCCCCTATTATCTGAGTAGAAGGTTACTATTTTCTTTTTGAAGTAATTTTTAACAAGGGCTTTGAAACGAGGAAAAATAGTGGTGACATCAGATTTACGTTTGAGAAGATAAAGCCATATGTAGTGAGTGAAGTGATCTATGAAAATGACATAGTATTTGTAACCATCGACAGAATAAATAGGTGAAGTCCACAAATCAGAAAAAATAGTTTGCAGAGGAGTATTAGACACAATTGATGATTGAGAGAAAGGTAATTTATGACTTTTATTACAAAGACAGTCATTACAATGAGATTGCTTTGAATTAGATGAATCTAAAGCTAGACCAAATTTAGAGATGATATGATGTTGGATTGACTCAGATGGGTGACCAAGATAATGATGCCAGTCACCAGAAGACACTTTGACACTAGAGTGGGCCAAAGGACGAGGTGCGAGTTGTGAGGTCAGCCATTCATACACACCATCTTTAGGTTTTCCTTCTAGTAGTGTTGCCCCTGACAATAGATCCTCCACACGAAAGGAAGATGGTAAGAACTCAATGGATGTATTATTTGATTTACAAAATTGAGATATGGAAATAATATTTCTTTTCATGTTAGGAATAAATAAAACATCATGTAATTTAAATGTATGGAAGGATATTTTAAGAGAAGAGGAGCCAATTTTGTAAATGTGTAACCCAGTATCATCACCGGTAATAATGTCGTCAGACCCATCGTATTGAGCATGAAGGGAGAGGTTGCCGAGATCGGTTGTGACATGGTGAGATGCCCCACTGTCGAGAAGCCATGTTGGAGTTTTGACATCTGATGTTGTGGCAACATGTGCCTTTGGTTACCATTGAGATCCAGTGTGCGAGGTGCGAGTGACGCCTTACGAGGAGGTGGGTACCAACTGAAAGAGAGGACACTGGGCGACAGTGTGGCCTAGTTGTCGGCATCCTGGACACTTGTCGAGATACGACCTCTGCTGGCGAGACTCGGCTTGCGGAAAGTGAGATCGTTGTTGTCTTGGAGCAGAGTGTGAAGATTGCGTCTTGTTGGATGAGGAGCAGTGTGAATCATTATACCTAGTCGACACAGCGTTAGCTATGGCGGGGGTCATGAGTTCCATGTTGATGAGTTTCTCATGAAGCTCTTCAAATAAGATGGGATTGTCTCTACCTTCCACTACATCAGCGATTTTGTGATAGTCATCATCGAGACCTTCTAAGATTTTCTCAATGATGTCCTCATGGTCCATTGGTTTGCCGAGTGTAGCAAGACGATCAGTTTGGCACTTGATATATTGCATGTAATCCGAAACGGATTGTGAGCCTTTCGCGGCTCGCTTGATCTGGTCCTTGATTTTCTTGATGTGACCACGTGTCGGGCTAGCATAGGTGTTGGCGAGAGTCTTCCATGCTTCGTAGGAGGTGGTCGCCTGTTGGATGAGAGGGATGAGAGAGGAGGAGATGGAACTGACAAGGGCGCCAAACAGCAGTTTGTCTTGTCGAATCCAATACAGAAAATCTAAGTTGGGAGCTTCAACGTTGTTGGTGGTGATGGTGTGAGGAGGACATGAATGAGATCCATCTATGTATTTGTATAGGTTGTAGCCGGTGAGAATGACCTCAATCTAAAGTTTCCAAGCAATATAATTTGTGGAGGTCAATTTATGGATGGATTGATGGGAAGTGTTGATGAGTTGAAGGTTTTGGTTTGGATTTTCTGGGTTCCTTATGAGAGTGATCTGAGAATCAGTCGACATGGTGAAGGCTGCGGTTAGGGTTTGCAAAGGAGTGGTGGGAGGAGGTCTAGAACGAGAGGTCTAAACCGTCTCTGATACAATGTAAAGAATTGTAATTGTTGAATAATGGCATAGCCTTTTTCGTTGATGTTAAGAGATACTTATAGGATTACAAGAGAATCAATTAGTTATATAAAATCTGAAACTACCTAATTAGTTACATAATCATTGGAACTAAAATGAGTAAGTGATTTGTCAAGATATTAACAAAATATCATATAATAGGAAAGAATCACAGGGTGTGTCGACTGACACCACAGGGTGTATCGAATGAGACCGCCTTTTGTGTCGACACAAGGGTGTCGTCTCGTTTGGTCCAGTTTCATGTCCACTGACACCGCAAAGCGTGTCGACTAAGGCCGCCTTTCGAGTCGACACAAGGGGTGTCGTCTGGTCTGGTCCGGCTTCATGTCGACTGGCTTCGCCGCCTTTCGAGTCGACACAAGGGGTGTCGTCTGGTCTGGTCCGGCTTCATGTCGACTGGCTTCGAGTCGACTAGCACCGCCTTTCGTGTCGACTAGCGTCACCTTTCATGTCGACACAGGGGGTGTCGTCTCGTCTGGTCGGGCTTCGTGTCGACTAGTACCGCCTTTCAAGTCGACACGGAGGGTGTCGTCTCTTCTGGTCGGTTGCAATTCCTTGATAACTTTATGTAAGAATTGTTTCAGTTGGTTTTTGTGAACTTGATTTGTATAGATTTTTTATTTGCTTAGGAGTTGTATGGTTTGCTACAGTAACATGTGCCATTGCACTGCTACTACCTTTGTTGGAACCAATTATAGTTGCTAACTCTTTTTGCAATTTCTATTAGTAACTGTAACTATGGATGTTTGTTTTAAGGTACTAGTTATTTCAACTTTGGTGTTAATTATTAAAGCTGCCACTTAAGTTTTATTTGCATTTCAAAAGTATTGCAATTAAGTTCAAACGTAACAACTGAGTTTATTGGACATAGTGAAATAATGCAAATGATGTGAACTCTTCCAGTTGCATGCAATGCATATGCAATCCTCTGGGCGAACCAAAAAGCTCCTTATACCTTCAAATCAAAGTTATCTCATATTATTCATTATGATATTTCAGGTCTAGTGAGATAAGATCATATTTACACTGTGAAGTGTAAATTAACTACAAAACTTCAATTTCACTCATCATTTAATTTTCACCCCTTGGAATACCAACGTTCCTGGTAGCGATGCAAAACATATAAAGACATCCCCTTGGCGATAAATTAATGTGACAGATTCGAGCATCAATGGCCAGGTGCATGATGGTTCGTAGTGCCATGCACCAATTGAGGTCAAGGTGATTCTTCATTTACAAAAAAGAGTGTGATTTTGTCAAAGCATGATCGAAGCATCATCATCACGCTGTAGTACGTAGGCTCATGAGGCCGACGTCGTCATTATTGAGGGTGCTGGTAAGTGGGATTGGAGAGAGTTTGCATTGGTTGAAAGGAGGTTGCATGCTATGATGAAGGTAAGATGAGGGAGTGTATGAGGAGAAGAGAGAGAGTTTTGGAGGAGAGACGTTTTTAGAATTTGATGACAGAGAGATTGGTAAGATCGAGAAGGGAGAAAGGAATGATGAAGATTTATAGGCGGATGATTGTTTCGGTTATGTGATGGAGGGAGATGAAGAGAATGAGGACATTGAGGAGGTGTGGGCAGATGAAGAGAAGTCCCATAATAATTAATATTCCTTGAAGTACATAAGAAAGATTATAGTGGTTTCATGCCGTAAAATTGATGATTTCCTTAGAAAAAAAGTAAAATTTAATTCTTTTTAAAACTAATTTCAAATTTATTTGTATAGCATTAATGAAATGGCAGAACATACTTGGAAATCATTTGATACGTACATTTTGTTAATGTTTCAGAGATGACGTTTACCAACATGCTCATTACAAATTCTCTATATTTTGTATTGATTCAATGCTGATAATATTTGAAACATCAAATATTCACATGGTATGAACCAATTGATTGTTTCTCAAATTGGCAAACGATTTTCAATCATATTTATACTTCTTAAGTTAATATTAATATTTATACAATAATGTTAGGTTAAGAGGAGGGTTATGACATGAATTAATTAGAGGGCACTTTGGTAACTTTGGATGCAATCTGGAGGGCTTTATGCGTAAAAAAGGTTTAACACCCTTCGCACTTTTAGAATAGTACACATACGTATGCACATTTGTATATGATTTTAATGGGTATGGATATGAGTTTTTTTACGGAGAACGAATTATACTAAAGAGAATCTTGGCTACCATCAAAAGCTAAGAGATGTCCACAGTAGGTGGAGCATCTTCAAGCATATAAACGGATTACTCACAATACTTGCCGTCATTACTAATGTGTGTGCTACATTGTTACATGTTCTAGGTATTGCATGACAAAAAAACGTGTTAAAATTTGATGCCAACTCTCTAATAACAGCGCAGACAACACCAATGTAGGAATTATAGTCACTTGCATATCTGTAACTGTGATTGCTAAGTGGATAAGGATATGATAAGCATGTTGTTTGAGCTGTATCCGAACCATCTTCACACATATTTTGGTTTTATTGAAATGAAAAGCTTAAATTTACTAGAAAAAAATTATTAATTTGTTGAGTATTTGAGGTACCGTTTGGCAAATAGTTAAGTGAGAGATTAAGGAGACTTAACCCCTTCTTAACCTGCCAAACACAAAAAATCTATACCATGGTTAAAGTGAGTTACTCCTCCATAATTTGCCAAACATAAAAAATATAGAAGAGTTAAGCTAACCCCTCTAGAGGGATTAAAATGTTAACCCCTTAAAAGGAGGGGTTAACTAATACTCCTATTTAGAAGGATTAATAGTTAACCCTTCCAATTATAAAGAAAATAGTTAAAATCATTGTTATTCCCAATCCCAAACACTAAAACTGATGATAGGAGTTAAAATAAAACTTATTTAACGGGTTAATAATTTAGTCCTTCAAATTATCGAATGAACTAACTACATTAACTTTTTTTCTTTAACCCATCTTTCTTAACCATTTGCCTAACCGGCCCGAGGGATTAATATCTTAGAAACTTAAAAGGAAACCCAAAGTTCGAAAAAGAAACTTATATTAATACACCTCAACGAAGTGACAACTACGAAAATCTAGCGATATCGTAGCAACAAAATCAAAGCGTTTATTAGCTGAAAATCCCCATAAACTAACTACAAAAACGAACGGCCAGCTGCCGAGATCATCAGCATCCCACCCGAGCTCTGCCCTTCCTCGTCCGATCGAACTCCCTTCTTCAGATCTCGCAATTACGACCAAGGATTTTAAAAAAAAAAAAACGTCGATTTACAACAAAACAGTAAGAAAGACTCCATTTTTGTTCTCAAATCGAGCACATTGGATTCCATCAAGCCATGGTCTCCTCCAGGGCTCCATCATCCACTTCCCTCCCTCTAATCCTCGACATCGAAGATTTCAAGGTAGTATTCAAGTCTCTCCTCTTTCCCCAAATTTAAACGCTTAATTCACCGGATTTTATGAATTTAGGGCGATTTCTCATTCGATGCGCTGTTTGGGAACTTGGTGAACGAGCTCTTGCCGTCGTTCAAAGATGACGACGCCGATGCGGTGGAGGGGGGCGGAGGAGGCGGCGATCTCCCGAATGGCCACGCGAGGGCGCTGTCGGATGCCGCCAAGCTGGCGGAGGGAGAGCCGCTGTTCCCCGAGGTTGATGCGCTGCTCGCGCTGTTCAAGGATTCTTGTAAAGAGTTGGTTGATCTCAGGCACCAAGTATGTGATTGAATGTGATTGTTTGTCTGTTTGTTTGTTTTGGTAGTTTTTGATTCGATTTTATCATTATTATTACTGTAGATTGATGCTAGGCTGATGAATTTGAAGAATGATGTTGAAGTCCAGGATAAGAAGCACCGGAGGACGCTTATGGAGGTTGGTTATGTGTCGTTTTTGTATGTTATTTGAGTGCATTGCATGAAATAGATAGAATTTTGCACCATAAATTTGTTGGTTAAAAAATTTGGGTTATAGGGATTTTGCATATATACCCTTCAAACCTACTCTTTATTTTCAAATTTGCTGTTCAAATCTAACTATTTGCTAATTTACCCATACCTTCTTTGAGATTGGGCTAATAATATACAGTATATTCCACCATATTATGTTAAAACTAGTTCCAAGCCCATGCTATGCATGCATTATTTTTGTTGAGGTTGGAAATTTTTGCAGAATAGAATTTTTTTTTTTGAAATTTTATGTATAAAAAAGAAACCACAACTGTTCATGATTTTGAACAAATCAAAATAAGATAGAGTTGGCCATCCATTATGCATTACGCTAGTCAGAAATGAAATTGCCTCAAGTATGTTGTATTGATAACATCGTAACATTATGATATTCTATATTTATTTAAAAAACAAAATGATAAAATGAAAAATTGGTACATCTGCAATTTAATTTTTATAGTTTACATAGATACATTACAATTCTCCGACATTCCGAAACTCATGTATATTATTATTTACTGAGTTTTCTGTTCATACAGAGAGTATAGGATAAATTTTCAGTACATAAACTTTCTTGTCACAGGTTATTTAACGAACTAATTAGCAAGTTACCTAACTGATGCTCTTTTCTATTTTCATATTGTCAACTCATTGAGGAATAAAAAAGTTTTAATATTTTATCTCAATATGTGCATAGAAATGGAACACAATTGCAGCCTTGAGTAGTTACAATTTCAAACTATAAAATTTCACAATGATCAATCATCAAATCCTAGCAGATGAGAACAAAATTTGAGGATCCAATAAACCATTATGTGCAGGATGCAACGTATATACTCCAGAAATAGTGGCAGAAAATTGATGCAAAGAGAATCATATCTTTGTGTAAGTAATTAGTCCACAGTATAAATATAAACAATATAACAAATATAAAGTCTTAATGCAATTCCCATTTGTTGATGGCCTTGTCAGCTTGCTACAAAATGACAGAATCTAAAATTAGAATGCACTCTGATTTCTTAGTGACCTTGGTCGTTTTTGGTGGATAAGCAGGCTGTGATCGATGTTTCTATTTTTCCTACTTAGAAGGGAAAACAAGTTAGTTGATAAATCATAAATGTAATCTTCTAGATGAAAAACATAAGCTTCAGTCGAAAGTTTTAATTTAGATGTAATTTGTACATAAATTAGAACAAATAAATAGAAAAAGTCCGAAAAGGCATGAGAAATTGAAATTGGCAGAGTTGACAACCAGTAGCTGAGATTACATACTGCAGAACTAATCAAAAGAGAAAAAAAGCATCTGTTTTGTATAAAAGGCCTATTGAATATTATGTTCTCATTGTGTGTAATACTTGAAAGGCACATTGTTTAGTATATACATTATACACCAACTAGTTGTTGCTCCACTTTTCCGTATTGAGGTGCTTTTGCATGAATTATTTACTAAGATGAACTTTACCCTATTAAGAGTATAGTACATGATTAGATAAAAAGTAGGGTTAATTTCACATAACCTCCCCCCACCCCACCCCCAAACTTTGTTTATCTTACATAACCCCTTTGAACTTCTAGGTGTCTTGCAAAACTCCCCCGAACTTCAAACTTTTCTCACCAGACCTCCCCTACATGTAAGTTCCAAATAACTAAAATTTCCTTGAGAGGAAAAATGCCCCTCCTAAAATTTGAAATTTTTTTCTCAAGGAACTTTTAGTTATTTGCAAATTACATTTTGGGGGGTTTCAGTGAGAAATGCTCAAAGTTCAGGAGGGTTTGTAAAACATCCCAAAGTTCAAGGGGTTATATGAGATAAACCAAGTTCAAGGGTTTTTTTGTGAATGAATCCAAAAATGAAAGGTATATGAAAGAGAAGAGGAGAAAAAACACAGAAAACCTCTTTAGCAGCCATGTTATTTTTAGCAAAAATATTAGAGTTAATTACCCTATCAAGTTCTAGTGGTTTCTGGCATGCATAAAGAATTCAGATTTATTGCCACAATGATTAAATTAAATGTGCAAATGGCATGAAGAATTACCCTATCAATTTATGGTTATGCACAAAATTTGTATACACAATTCTATACGCACATTCTCCATGAAATTTGATAAAACTTAATAGTAAATTTCAACCTTTTACCTCAGAGCTATCCTCCTAGCAATGAAATTTGTGTTTGTGAATTCGATGGGAAAGGAGAGACTTGATCCAACAATAGATGTGCTTAAGATATATTTTTCACTTAGTGAAGGAACTGCGGAATGTAGATATTATCAGAGGAACATTATTATTAGTGCCAGTTCCTCTCAAGTTCTCATAGTAATAACAAATATGATGTAAACAATTTGGTTAATTTCAACTGAAAGCACATTCCAGAATCTTTTGCAAATCAAGTTCTAAAAGCAAGTCAAGCATCTCAAAGGAAAATCTTTATGATTGACTAATTTTCTTTAAGAATTAGGAAAAGGAACACTATCATAAGCATCAAAGAACAATTTGGCATATAAGCACAATTATTTCTTGAACAAAAATAAAATACTAAGCACATAATGACCTTAAATGTAAAGAGCAACAGTTTTATAAGATTTTGATTTTATCTCCATAGTTAATTGTAATACGATTTTATGTTACACAAAAGTGAAAAAAATTTGACAATGACTTAAAACTGAAAATAATAGTAGTAATGATAAAATAATAATGATTTAGTATATACCGAGCATTCTATTACAAAAAGAAACTCCAATGTCAAAAAATCTCCCTGTACGCGTCTGCTTCTTTCAAAACATATGAATAAGACAACATGCAATTGCTACATAACTAATAGCTCACATCAAAGTGAATTTGAATTTTGCCCCTAGGCTGCAGCAAAAGAGCATGTTTTTCACATTTTAATCCTTTTAAAACTTTGCACAATATATATACTTGCTATTCTTCCTTGCATGTATTTATGTTATTAATGTTAGGATCATCAAGATCCCAATAATTAATTTGCGAAAAGAATTCCAATCCTAAAACTCTAGGCTAGTCAAACTAACAAAATCCTAGAGTCAATTAACGGAATCGATCAACTATCCAAACTAAAAGACATTATAATATATTAATAAATTTAAAAAAGATCAAAAGAGAAAAGGAGAAAATAATGGGAAAAAACACCTTTGAAGTGCTTGTGTGGGAGGGTAAGAGAAAAAGGTGAATGTGGATAGAATGAGATATTTCAAAAGAGAGCATTTGAGATTCTTGTGCTTTCCTCAAAGCTAAACTATTGATTTAAAACGCGAATTTTGTGTTCATCTAAAATTGAATTTAACATAATACCAAGTTCACCACTTTTGTAGACATAGGTTTTCTTCAATTTCTACTACATTTAAGTGATAATATTTATGTTTTGAAGGTTGATGTTCTTCTTAAACTAAAACACAAAAATTAGGAGAAAATAATTACCTAAATTGAGCTGGCACCACAGACGTAAGAAAAGATCAGATAGAGGAGGAAGAATTGAAATGCACCTTAAAATCTTTTTTAATCCAAATCACAAAATAATAGGTCAATATTTCCAATAAATAGCTCTAGAATTTAAAAGGAGAGAGATCTAGGATAGCATCTAAAGGCAAAAGTGCAAGGAATTAAGCTAGTAGTGAGACTGAAACAATATTAGGAGTTTTTTTTTGTATACTAGGGGAAAGGAATGTGTCCAGCAAGACGCATTGATTATCTAGCAATATTGTCCATTTTAGGATCTAGTAACATTGTCTGATTTGGGACCTCAAGAGGATCGATTCCTGTCAGCTTTATGCAGAATGAAACAAATTTTTTTTAAGAAAAATGCTCAAATTGTAATGGAGATAGTGTGAAGAATTTGAGAACAAACTTAATATACGAAACTTTAGCAAGCTTGAGAAATTAATTCCATTTGAGATTTAATTGTGTAAAAAAACCCCAATTACTGGTCTTATAGAGGCTTAAGGTGAGGCAACAATCGGAAAAGTGTAAGGATGTAGCGGAGTCATATGTGCAGAGGTGGTTGCTATGTTTTCCGGTAAGGCAAATGAGATTGAGCAGAATGAATTAGAAGAATAAGTATTAAATGTTTATTTGAAATTTGAGTAGAGAAGAGGAACTACAAGGGGAGAGAGGTATAGCGAGAAAGGTGCTTGCTTTTTTCTTTGCAATGAATTGACGTATAGAACTTGAAAAAACTTATTTCATACTAAGAGTAAGGTCGTGAGAGAGAAACACTTCCTTTTCTATTTTCAAGAGGGGGAAAGTGGGATTTTTAGTGGGGATTTTTATCAAGTGTTAGTTACAGTGGGTAAAGATTTAATAGTATTTATATAAATACTTTTGGAATAAGAATAATCTATCCCTTGTTAAATTAATTAAATCAAATTAATTTCTATTAATTTTGAGAGAGAGAGAGAAAAAGAGGAGAGGGGATATTTGCACTGGCGAAAGGATGCGGCATGATTATCATCAAGGTAGCGTCTATATTTTGTTTGAGAGAGGGAGGGAGGGAGGGAGAAGGGGTGAGAAAGAGATGAAAGCGATGACTAGTGCTGCCCTCTCTCAATTTTACCATTATAATCCCTTAATGTTTAAACTGTAACATCATTAAATTTAAGAACAAAAAAATTTTGTGGGGACAAATTGGTGGTGAACTAACAAATATCAAGAATTTGGGGTTAGATTTGTAAATATAGTAGATCTTGGGGATATGTATGAAAACAACCCTGGATAATAATGCAAATGTGATATGTAGGTTAAATGAATTAGTTTTTGTGCATATTTCTCTTGAAACATCGAATAAAAAAGTTAAAAGAGAGAAGCATGTAGAATTACGTTGCGCAACCAAGGTGCATATAATGGAATGTAATGATGAGTCATATAGGTTTTTTCACTTAGCTTTGATAGTAATCAACTGATCATCTTCAAAGATGGTGAAAGATGAGTTTTCTTTTGGGTAAAATTGTTCAATAATGGGATGGAACTAACTGTCAGCTTGTGACTTGTAATAGATGAAACATTAAGGAAATGCAAGATATCACGTGATTGCAGTTGTTGGATTATGTTATCAATCTTGTATGAACTTTTGTCAAATATATTGTTGTGAAATTGTTCTTAATACAACCATATGCATTAAACCTGAAAAGACTCCACTCTCCACTAATAGATGCTTTCAACCTTCACAATTACTAGCTTCATAGGAAGATGTTATTCATCTCAAGAACAAGAAGTAAACAATGCTTTCGTCATGAAAAATACTAGCCCTCAATGGTTGTATCCTTGACAATTAAAATTTTTGTGAATTTTAGAGAACTACCATGAGTTTTTGGGAGGTTTTTCACAGAAGTACTTTATACATTTCCAATGGAAAAAAGTTCAGGAACCATTCCTCACGTTCTATGTACTTATATATATATATATATATATATATATTATATATATATATATATATATATATATAGAGTCGGCAGGATTAGCCGTACACATGATGAAGCACGATTATATGAGTTGAATATACCTTGTCTTATATACTTATGTGACGACTATCCTGATTCTGGTTTGTGTAGTGTGTGTGTGTGGTATATATAGGATATATATATATATAGTATATATATATGATATAGTATATACTATAATATATTATAATATATATATAAAAAAAAAAAAAAAAAAAAAAAAAAAAAAAAAAAAAAAAAAAAAAAAAGAAAAAAAAAAAAAAAAAAAAAAAAAAAAAAAAAAGATATACTATATAGTATATATATACTATATATAATATATATTATCATATATATATATATATATATATATGATATATATATATATATATATATGATATATATATATATATAGCACACAAAGTCAGGATAGCCGTCACATGTGAAGCACATTATATGTTGGATATACTTGTCTGTATATACTTTATATATCTTATGCATTACCCTCACCCTTCTCTTATTTTCAAGGGTAGTTTAGACCCATTGTCTAAGTCATTCACGTCGTGACAAAAAACTTCCAACAAATTATGGTATTTTCTTGTAGTTTTGAAAGTCAATGATAGTTCATCAGTAGTTTAGACCCATTAGATTTTTTGCATAGATGCCCCTCAAATCTATCCTATTGCAAATTTATTTCCAAAAACCCGACTACTTCTTAGATTACCCATACATTATTTGAGATTAGGTTAATCTAGCCCTCATATTTATTAGTAAAGAATATTTTGGGAGTATATGGAAATTTATGTTAAAATATTGTAATAGTTTAAAAATATGACTACCGTACCCCTAGTTAATTAATATATATAATGGTTTGGGGAGGGGAGGGGGTTTAGCAGCCGACTCGTATATGGTTGCTAATTGCTAATCAGTTGAGAAGTGTGGGGGCATTGATGTCGGGGTGCGGGTAGACCTAGGGTAGTTTGTTTTGAATGAGTTAGGTTCATGTTGATTGGAGAGGATGATGATCGGCTTAATTTGGTTTTGGGATATTGAGTTCTTGTGAATTTGGGTTATTTTGTATTGGAGGAGAGGATGTTGAAGATTGGCTTGATTTGATTTGGGTTCGAGCTATGAGTTCTTGAAAATTAGAGGGGAGCATTATGAGGTTGGGTTTGATTTGTGTTTGAGCTAGTGCGTTCTTCTAAATTTGGATTCTTGTGAATTGGAGAGGAGGATGAAGATGAGCTTCAGTTGTGTTTGAGCTAGTGTGTTCTGTTAAATTTGGTTTTGATTTTGGGATATTGGAGGAGAGGCGGTTAGCCAATCATTATCATAACGGTTTTTAGTTGATACTGATAGCATAGGAAGCATCTGATAGGTAGAGAGAGAGGGTGCGGTAGTACGACGTCGTCACCAGTGACCACTAGGGTGCTGCCCCGCTTTTTTTTTTAAGAATGAAGAGAGATGTTTTCATTGGCATAACATTGTCTAGAAACTGAAGGTGTTCAGAGAAGGGTAGAAAACCATTGTGGAAGAATGTAGGGGTAAAGCAAATATGTACATTTGAGGGTAAATATGCAAATACCATAGATTTGAAGGGTAAAGAAGAAAAACCAAAAATATGATAAATTTGAATAAATAAGAAAATCCTAGATTAAAGCTATCATATTCTTTTAAGAAAACCCTATGGTTTAAGTTTTTATTTCTTGATTGTACTTACTTATGATTAAAGAGATTGCTGATAACTGATAGTATTAAATAAAATTAAGATTAACAATAACATGTCCTAGAAGACCTAAAGTTATGATATATGTTGGTTTCATTAGTTCTACCTTCCTCTCCCCCTCATCTGGGTTTATCTTTTGGAACACAACATTGTGTTGAAACCATTGCTTAGCTTAAAATTACAAGAGTAAGATTTTTTCCAAGTTACTAGACTCCATTTCTTTGCTTCTATTACACGTCTTATCCGATTCCTATTGCTATCAAACATGTCAGCTATTCTCATACAGTGTTTCTCAATTTGGAGGAGGATCCTGAGTTAAATTTTGGAGAAAGCTCCAATGTTTAGGCTGATGGACATCTGCTATTGATTTTGTAGGTACATGGTGTTCTTGTTCTGAACCGGCCATTACTTAAAATTTAGTTAGTCTGAAATTCTGTAAAAAAAAAAATCCCAGGCTAGCAAGTGGAGCTGCACTTGTTATCTTTTCCTGACACATCAGCGGTCATTTATCCCCTATGCACCGTTTCTCTCTTTACAAGTATTATTAAAATGCGCGCTCTGGTATGTAAGTTCTACTCCATACACACATGTTGCATGTGCTTTTTCCTCACACTATTGGCATGCGTGAGTTCTTAGAAAAAATAATGTTTAGACTAATGAGAGTGTGCATCTGCTATTATATTTCATTTGCGAAGCCATTATTTAGTTGAAACAGGTTAGCTAAGTTTAATGGCATAGGATTTTCAGCAGAAGTCCTAAAATCAGGCTTGCATGTGAAGGATCAAGTTTATTATATTTTCTGACTTGTCTGCCGGCTATGTGTCTAAGGATTCTAAAGTACCAAGCTATCTTTTTTCCTAGATAATTCGATACATGTAAGTATAGGCACCCCCTGCTGACATAAATTTGGTACCTACATGTTCATGTGTTTTCTTGTCATTCTAGTGTGAGCGTGCATGAATCCTTCTGTCCTTGGTGTAACAATTTGTGAATTCTTCATCGATGACTTAATTTATGTTGAAAAATCTTTTGTCCAGAACTTTGAACAATCTTACAGTCATAGTTTTTATATGTACTATAATTTATGTTGTCCTTAAGTGCAAGTTAGATGTAATCATGTAAGATGACACTTGTTATTCACATTTTATTTATCCTCTTATCTTCCCTTCAGCTAGAAAAAGGTGTAGATGGCTTGTATGATAGTTTCGCCAGACTGGATTCTCGAATTTCTAGTGTGGGGCAGACTGCTGCAAAGATTGGGGACCATTTGCAGGTACACTACTGATTATTCTTTTCTATTGGTATTGTTATCATTACGCTAAAGGTTTTTATTAAATTTATATTCTAATCATTTTTTGCCAGTCTACTGTTTTCGTGCATTTGTGACAAGATTATTTTTCTAGATACTATGACGTAATAAATGTTTTGTTTGTCAGAGTGCAGATTCCCAGAGAGAAACTGCCAGTCAAACAATAGATCTGATAAAGGTAGGGACTGTTGATAATTTTTTGTTCTTTGAGATTTTGCCTCTCTTTTTTTCCCAATCAATATATGCTTCCATAAATTTATATTCTATAATCTTCACAGTACTTGATGGAGTTTAATAGCAGCCCTGGTGACCTGATGGAATTGTCATCTCTATTTTCTGATGATAGTCGTGTTGCTGAAGCTGCCGCAGTTGCAGAGAAATTACGTAAGCTATCACCAGTTGTTTAGTGAATGAAATGTGCTGAAAATACACAGTTTCTCATTAATTTCAGGGCCAATAATTTACTCAAAGCATAACAGGTATTTTGGCAATTGGCATACAGAGTTTGGAATGTGAAGAAATAACTGCCATCACATTGGTTGTTTTCATATGAAAGTTCTTTCATAAAATTGAAAAGTAGTTAAAGGGAAGTAGAGAAAATAGTAGACAAACCTGAAGAGATACTTGGAACGAAACTGAAGAATACTGAATCCCATCTGCAAATCAATTGATCCAGAGTCAAAGGACTAAGTAGGCATACACGTATGAATTTTGAATTAATAATCCATAGGACCATAGCATATATTTTATAAAAGACTATAATTTGTTTTTCCCCAAAAATGGACTTTGAATATTGCAGGCAATCTGCTTGCAACATCATTGCAAGGAGATACAGAGAGGAAGAGAACTATGGAGCCAAGTGATAGACCTAACTTTGTAGATTATAAATAATACGTGGTGTAGGAAAGGAAAATGGAAGATGTATGATAGAACAAACACAGAGAGTAGTGCAAGGAAGTAAGCTACCTTTATTCACTATTAAATCAAAACCTTACCATACCTATACATAACTTTGACATACTAGGGTGTACTCCTAAAGATCAGAAGAGCAGAACGTTAAGTAAACTCATTAACCCTGATATGGTTATAGGTACATATTGTTTACCATTTATGTGAACATTTACCCATGGTATCCATCTTTTGTTTTCAACATCTCTCTATTCTGCTTCAAGTTGGATTTCTACTCAACCACTCAAACTTCTCTTATGCTTCTTCTATTCTAACTATCTGCTCTGTGGTATGTATAATGTTTAATTTAGAATCCTTGCACTTTTTAGACACCCCTCACATATAATTAGAAGAATATGTTGAAGAGCTCATATATAAGCTTATTATTATTTTTTTCTAAACCTCAAGTTGAAAGAAGTTAATTTTAACTTCCTTCAACAGGAATAATATGCATTTTGTTCTTCAAAACATAAAGATGGAATGTCATATACAACACTTTTTATTTTATTATAATTTTAACTATTTTACTTTCAATTTCCAAATAAGGTTAACCTGCATTGTATATCACCACTCTTTTTCTAATCATAGGATCATTTGCTGAGGAGGATGTTGGTAGGGCTGGCATTGGCATGTCTTCTGTAGTTGGTGCAGCCAATGCTAGCAGGGGCTTAGAGGTTGCCGTTGCAAATCTTCAAGAGTACTGTAATGGTAAGTTTTATTAGTTCTTGCGTAATATTTTTTCTGAATATTAATTTCTTAATGCTCATGTCTAATTTTTTCAGAACTGGAAAATAGGCTTCTTTCACGATTTGACGCCACATCACAAAAGCACGAACTGTCGACAATGGCAGAATGTGCTAAAATTTTGTCTCAGGTCTGTAGTCTTGTTTCAATATTTTTAAATAGTAGATGAATGACATTGGATAACTGGAAAAGAGTAAGATGGAAAACTTCAATGATGATAGATAAGAGGAAACACAATAAAGTATTGCACCAATTTTCTTTGTCATCCTCAATGTAAAATAGGCATACAAATCCATGCACATTTGTCCTTCTGCTACAAGGTTCCTTTACTTCATTATTTAATACTGGAAACTATGAGGATTCAGGCATAGCTTATTGGGTTTCTGTCTTATCTGTTGGATGGGTTCTGTTTCTGTAAGATGTCCAAATTAGTATGGAAACTGGAATCAAAGAAACAAACATTAACTATGAATGAAGAGCGAATGTTGTCAAGGAAACTTGATCTTGTTTTAGTCATTGTGCGAGGTATTTCGCATAGGATGATGCAACTACGGTGTATCTGGCACTGAAAGGGTCTTGTTTCTACTCATGGTACTAGGCTGCAAAATGTTTGCGAAATGCCTACCACCAATGGGTAAAGTTTCTCCATATCTTGCTACATTAGGCTGCAAAAAATGTGCATGCATTTCCAGACAGAGGAACTTATTCACTACTGGGTCAGCGCGTTCTGCAGAAAGTCATCATCGATGTCTTGGGTTTCGTGGCACGATATGACTTTGTTTGTCTATTGGCTGTAATTAATTCCATCCAACTCTTAAGAAAGTGTCATCAATATAATCTGTACAAGCACATGCAAGCAAAGAGACTCCGAGACATCATATCTATAATGGTAAGTTCATCTTTCACTTCCTAAGTCCCTGTCCCAATAACAAATCCTTCCTGTTAAAAAAATTGCACAATGATGACATCCGATTATGTATGTTTCTTCTTTCAAGGATGAGGAATTCCTTGCTTCTTCAAGTCTTCCAATCGGTTGCAATAATCTTTTATTACATTTCTTGAGATTGGTAGACTTTTCTTTATTGATTTATTCCATAAACATTGCCACCATCATACAACCAGTTTTATTCCTTTATATTTCCTTTCATCTTTCTTATCAATTTCCTTTGGCTAACTTTATCCTTCCTCTGTCCCTACTATTGTTCATTCTCAATGCAATGGTTCTTCCCATGATGACTTTACCACCCTTCCAAGTTTGTTAGATGCCACTGCTTTAAAGACGTCTGGTATTCCTTGCTGTCATCCCTTTCCTTCTCGGAGTTTGATGTTTCAACCTTATCTTCAATTCTTTAAGAAGGGAGATTAGGCACTTCTTAGGCAGTCTATTGCGTAATATTGCTTGGGTACCTTGTGGTTGACTCTTTGTTACCAAACTCCAGGGACGTTTGATGTTTCTACTTCATTTTCAACTAATAAATGCATATATTCTTTACCTATAGACTCATGCCAACACTTCTATGCCCATTATTTTCCTTTAGAATCCATTTATTCTTTATTGATCTCATTGTCAGTCAGCCTCCATATCCTTTATTGAGTCAAGTTGCTACTTAGGGAATGGGAGTTAACTATGGCTTAGGGCCTTGTGATCTTATATTGGTGTTTTTTGAAGTTTATAACAAAAAGTTGCTGCTTAGAGGATGGGAGCTAACTATGGCTAGGGCCTTGTGATCTTATATTGATGTTTCTTGAAGTTTATAACAAATGTCAAGCCCATGGCTTTTAGCAAACAGTTCCAATGCCAATTTTTTTGGTATTTCCTTAAATCTTGATTTGCTTGCAAAATGACCAACTGTTTGTCCCATTCACAATTCATAGTTGCCAGGGTCTGATATCTTGGCATTGTAGTAGTATTATTGCTCGACAAATTATCGATATGGTTTTGAAGTTTTACGAGTTTCAATAGTTTTGAATAGGAAATACCGAAGTATGTAACACGAGTTCTAGCATTTATGATGATTCACAAACTGTTATGTTGATTTACTTAGTTTTTTAATTTTCTCAATATAACAATAGAACTTTTTTGTATTTAAATCCTGGATCTCTTTTTTATTGGCCATTATTAGCTAATATCAATCCATATAAGTTGTCATGAGCTGACAGCAGTGGATAGCTTGGCATTGGTTGGATTAAATCGACATAATTAGAATGCGATGCAATATGAGGATACATATCCATATTAACTGATCATCCAAAGCTTGTTATTTTGTTTTTGATGAGAAATCATGTATATAGTAGAGGGCTTACATAATCTTATGTTTTGCGTTCCTTTTCCTTTGACACTTAAAGATATTTAATATTTTTGGGTGTCTGCCTCCTTTTTTCATGTTATATTTCCTTTTAACTACGAGCCTTCTGTATTTTCTGATTTTCGCTGCTTTTCACAACAATGATCCCTAGGGACCATGAGACCAGATATTTTAGTGATCTTCTGAATATTTGCAAAATAATTAATAGGTCTATATTTTCAGTTTTTAAACCAAAGTTGGACCTTAGTTACCATGAATTGGCTTTCAAGGTCCAATGCAGTTTTACTAGTTTAATCACAAACATGGTTTTACTTCGAGCATGTTGGAAAATGTTTATTTAGAGAAATTATGCTCTAATTTGTTGATTCTGTATTGCAGTTTAACAGGGGCACCAGTGCCATGCAACATTATGTAGCATCTCGACCGATGTTTATTGATATAGAAGTTATGAATACAGACACCAAGGTGGTGCTTGGTGATCAAGGTCTGAAATCTGGCACAAGCAATATTGCTCGCGGTCTTTCCACACTATACAAAGAGATTACAGGTCTCTCTTCTGATGAATATTTTCCATTGTTTTCAAAACGATTAAATGTTAAGAGATCTTATGATCAGAAAACTTTTCGACTTTGTAGAAACTGTGCGCAATGAGGCTGCGACTATAATGGCTGTTTTCCCATCGCCAAACGATGTCATGTCAATACTTGTGCAGGTCTGTTAGATGAGTCTTTTCTTCTGTATTGATCTATTAAAATTTACATTTCTTAATTTCTTGAATGTCTAATATACTATGTTTACTCTGTTGTATATAGAGAGTCTTAGAACAGAGGGTTACATCGATTCTTGACAAGCTGTTGATAAAACCTTCTCTTGTGAACTTACCTCCTGTAGAAGAAGGGGGCCTACTACTAGTATGTTCCTGTAATGACCTTTTGCTGCTTTCGTTTATGTAACTTCTTAAGGCTTCATTGGATGCTCATCTGTGATTTTGCTGGTTTAATTTACAGTATCTAAGAGTTCTTGCAATAGGATATGAGAAGACACAAGAGCTTGCTAAGGAATTACGATCTGTTGGTTGTGGTGACTTGGATATTGAAGGTAATCGTTTTCTTAGAGAAACCTTCATACTAAACTTTTAATATATCATGCACCCACACTGCTTTAGATTGTTATCATCATGGTAAAACTAGTTGGATTTTTTATATGAAATGTTTCTGTGCTACTCTTGGGGATACTGTATTGATATCCAAGGGACTCAGTCATTTATAGTATATAATATGCCCCTTATTGACTTCAGGCTTGTTTAGTTGGCAGGTGGGCACATCAATATCAGCCTTTTGAGTTTTTGGGTACAAAAGTTGTATCCAGAGTCTGCAGTAAAATTAGCATGGTTCAGTCTCATAGAATAGAGTTGCACCTTAGAGTTCAAATGGGAAACCTATACATTTTTAGCAACTTGTTTATCACACTACAGCTATCTGTAAGCTTGACATACTTGGGAGCTCTTCAAATTGCTTCCTTAGCAGCAGAGATTCTTGAAAATTGGTACTAGTTTGCTACTTTACAGAAGAGTATTCTAACGTGTGAGATCGTCATGATATGGTCACTCCGAAGATGTAGACAGTTGGAAAGATGCAGAGCTGCGTGCGTGCGTGCGTGCGTGCGTGCGCCTGTGCGTGTGACAAATCGAATTCAAATATCATTTGTTCTTCAAATGGAATTTGAATATTAGCAAATGAATCAAAATTGGAATCCGAATTTACTATTCAATCTGATTCTGTTTGTTTCCACCCCTTGGTCTGTGGCGCTTTTGGGGCCATCTTTATGCATTCCAGTTAACTTGATTAACATAATTGAATAAATTAGTTATTTTTTTTATTAACGGCCTCATGGCTCCAACATATTTCTCAACCAGTATTAGTTTCTCTTAAGTCCACATTTCATTCAGCAACTCTGTAACTGTAACTCCTACTATTTTATTTCTTCTACTTAGCCGAATGATCTATTTTTTTTTTCCGATCCAGGCCTCACAGAATCGTTGTTTCTCACCCACAAGGATAGCTACCGTGAATACGAGCAAGCCTCCCTTAAGCAGCTTTATCAATCGAAGGTTATCTGTATCATTTGTAAACTAGTATAAGCTAATTTTGTTTTCCTTTTGAAGTTTTGATGTTTAGCCTTATCTTTAGTAGTAAATAGAGCTTTTATGGATGTGTAAAGCTTGTTCTTAGCATGATAATGGTTCCAGATGGAAGAGTTGCGTGCTGAAATTCAGCAACAAGCAGATGCTGCAGGAAATGCCTCACGTTCAAAAGCAGCTATAAACACATCTAGCCATCAGCAGACATCTGTTACTATAGTTACAGAATTTGTGCGCTGGAATGAAGAGGCGATATCTAGATGCATTTTACTTTCTTCCCTGGTCAGTATTTGTTATTCATTAGTAACTTATGTTCTTGTGTTAGAATAGTTGTAAATAGAGAAAAACACTTTGAATCTAGAAAAAACTATTGTCTTTAATCTTTACCTATGTTTTTGTTTGTACTCTGTACTTTATCATATAGCATGTTTTTATGCAGGTGCTCAAATTCTCTGTAGACTAAAAAGAAAGGAAATGAAAAAGAACTCATACACGCGCACACACACATGAAGGTTTAATATGGTCACAAGGAAAGTTACTAGTGGTCAAGGCTACATTAAGTGTGGGGTCCACTCAATATTGATTCTCTCTTTAGAAGACATGCATAAAAATGCTCAAGTTTTCACTTAAATGATGACCTTGTATGATAAGCGTTTGAGTTAATCAACTAATGAAATCAATTTTTCCTCATTAAGTCATATATATAAATTTGTATTTAGAATTGGAATTGCTTAAAATTAGTTGACCAAATTCTGACTATTCTGAAGTCAGGACGATGGTGCTGCCTGTGCTAAACCACCTCATTGTACAATTGAACTCAGGAAATCAATCAAAATAAATTAATAGTTGGTAACAAATTATTGGTCCTTTTGCTAATTCTAATGTGTATAAGGTCCCCTCATTGAGATAATTTTTTATGTCTTTCTAAGAATAAGGTTCCGTGTACCTATCAAGAATTAAAGGATATAAATTTAGAGTATTTTACCCCAGCTTTCTGCATATCAAGAATTAAAGGATATAAATTTAGAGCATTTTTTACTTTTATACTCAGAGATTGTTGTCAGTTACCGGCTATGGAGATTGTATTGTGGATATGGTTATACATTTCAAACTGCTTTTCTACTGTTGAAATATTCAACTTTCCGCTGTGCTTTGTTAGTTTCAACTATCAGTAAGTGCTACATATTTCATTCCATCTCCTTGAATTTGTGTTTTCCAATTCATGGTGACATGTTTCCTAGCAGAATTGCCAAAATTGGTATACCTAAAAATAAAACTAGATCACAAAAATGGCTAATTGATTAATGAGCTCTTTAATACGTATAGCACAAGTTTTAATCTTTTCTTGATAGGTGTCGTTGTGGTTTTCTATACATACTCTATGGCTTTAAATTTTGGAGTTTGAAATTGGATTATTTATTTTAATTAGATCTACGATCATGATTTTAACTAATGTCTTCAAATGTATATGATGTGTCTTCTCTGTCCATGTGCATACATATAATTCATGAATAAATATCAAAATAATCCTACCAGATTCTCCCAATTGTAAGTCAAATTTTGTTTGCCCCCTTCACATCAGATGCCGTTCAAAGTAACATGTATCTCATATCTATACTTGTGCCGTAAATCGAACCATACTCTACAGCTTTAAATTTTGGAGTTTGAACTTTGATTATTTAATTTAGTTAGATCTATGATCATGATTTAATAAATGTCTCCAAATATATATGATGTCTCTTCTCTGTCCATGTGCATACATATGATTCATGATATATATCAAAATAATCCCGCCAGATTCTCCCAATTGTAAGTCGAATTTTGCCTGCCCCTTTTTATCACATACTGTTCAAAGTAGCGTGTCTCATATCAATACTTGTGCCACAAATCGAAGCATACATTTCATTTGGTAAAACTGGTTTAAAGATAGTTAATATATATTGTTCTTAATTTTATCATGCTTTTTTAATCCAAAATTTATTGACGACTGATACTGTCTATGCCATTTGGATTTTTTCTCAAGATATAGCAATGCTTTCGTTTTCAAGTCATTGTGACGCTTAAAAATTCTTACCTATTTTACTTTTCTTTAGATACTTGTTGACATTCTATTGTGCTTGGACACTTGTAAACTCTTGTTTATAGCCCTACTTTTGTTGTAACTTATGCTGATGCTGCAATTCAGAGTTTTATTTCAACATTCTTTTAGCATCTGTTTTACTTGTCGCCATGTTGCTGTAACAATCTAATTTTTTTTCCCTTTCCAGCCTGCTACTCTTGCAGCTAATGTGAAATCAGTATTCACTTGCTTACTTGATCAAGTAAGTTTGGTTTATATCATAGGCATTAGAGGCTGCAACTGCAATTCTTGTTTTAAGTTCTTTGCTGAAACATCTACAGATGAGGCAATATTTGACTGAAGGGCTTGAACGGGCTAGAGAGAGTTTGAATGAAGCTGCAGCTTTGAGAGATAGGTTCATGATAGGCACCAGCGTCAGTAGAAGGGTTGCTGCTGCTGCAGCTTCAGCTGTATGTTAAATCTACTTCCATATTTATTTTCTTTGCCCTGTTGACATAATTTGTACCTACTGACAAAATCATTCATTTGTAATTAGGGAAAAAAAGCACTAATTCACTTCTCTGCATGAAGTGTTAATTTCAGAAATGTTTGCAGGCAGAGGCGGCAGCTGCTGCTGGTGAAAGTAGTTTCAGATCTTTTATCATTGCTGTTCAACGGTCTGCCAGTAGTGTGGCAATACTTCAACAAGTAAGACATTTCCCTCAAGTGCTTATTACACGTGCATTTTAGTTCTAAGCACTGATATTGTACTCTTGCAGTATTTTTCAAATACTATTACTCGGCTCCTGCTTCCTGTTGATGGTGCTCATGCAGCATCATGTGAAGAGATGGGCACAGCTGTGTCTAGGGTTGAGGCTGCTGCCCATAAGGGTCTACTCCAATGTATTGATACTGTGATGGCTGAGGTATGGATCTGTAACTTCTTTCACATCCTTAACAGAATTGTTTTATTCATCTCAACATGACAACAGTCCTGAGAATACCAAATGCAGCATTGAGTAGTATATAACAGAATGAAACCATTTTGGCATAGTGAAATATTGTTGTTTTGTAACCTGACCATGGCAAGGGTGCTCTGCACTGCACCGCAATGACTGAGCCAAGCTGATGGTCTAATAGCTAGTTTTCTATATATGCTTCATAAAGAAGTCTTGCATTTGATGCTTTTTTCTAGTTTTGTGTTGAAAACATTTTATTCTACTACTACAACGACGACTACAGAGGTCTATATATGCAAAACTTATGTGCTGCCAGCAATACTGAGTTTAAATGTGCATTTTCAAATGAGTAGATGTGTCACTTATGGTAATTTGTGATGTAAAATAATTGATTCCTTTATTGCAGATATTTCTATGTGCTATGATACTTATGGATCCATGACTAGGGGTGGCAAATGGGTCAAGTTTGACTGGACCTTGATAATAGTTAAATGGGTCAGCTTTTGCAAATTGATCAGAACTGTACTGCGTCCATATTGCCAAATTGACCTGACCTGGATAAATAAACTGGTCAGAGCAGCTGAGGTGGAGAAATCATAAGCTTTTTATAGTAAAGGTAAACAAAAAAATGAAAAATGAAAAATAAATAGTACGCAACAAATCAGATACATCAAAAAAAGAAAAAAGGGGAACATGACAAAATATGCATTATGGCGCACTGACATAACCAACATGAACAAAGTAATAATGCAGAAACTCATGAACTACTATCACTGCATCCCATGAATAGAAAAAAGAAATGAAAGGCACAGTATCTCTCTCTTTCATAAAGGAAAACCATTTGGAGCATGATTATTTATGGAGGGGTTCAGACAGACAAAATTACTCGAGTATGGTGGAGGTGCTTTACAAAGATCAAATATGATTAAAAAAATCATGCATGAGGTAGGCATTAAAAAAAAATCATGCATGAGGTGGGCACAAACATGATTAAAAAAAAAGGATCAAAGATGATAAAATGGTCTTCTGCTTATATATATACTTTGGAATCATCCACATGTTTTTTGGTCTTATAATTAACCTCATGCAGGTGGAGAGATTGCTGTCAACAGAGCAGAAGGCTACAGATTATAGGTCGCCTGATGATGGAATTACCCCGGACCATCGACCAACAAATGCATGCATAAGGTATGTTCAGGGTATATTATCACTTACCAAATAAGTAAAGGTTACCACACGATTAAAGTTTCTTTCATTATCTTCAGAGTAGTAGCCTACCTTTCTCGTGTGCTAGAAGTTGCATTCACTGCTCTTGAGGGTCTCAACAAACAGTCATTTCTGAGTGAAATGGTAAGTTCACACGTATAATTTTCGACTGATTCTTGTTTTATACAAACAATGGCACAGTTTCACTCATTTGATCTTGAAGTGCATGCAATCATTAACGTAATTGTAAGTTTGTTTGTCTGTGCTTCTGTTATAATCAACATTGCTAGTGATATCTCTCTCGCTTTCATACAATGTTACTGGGAAATTATTGCATGGTACCACTTCCCATTTAGTTTCCAGTTCCCAGACATGTCCTAAAGGTCTAATTGCCCTTTATTTAGGCTGGTGGGTAAGACGAGACTGCTACATAATTAGCTTATTAGAAAATATAAGTATGTTAAACAATAAAAGATTGTAGATTCTCATCCATATTTTAAAAACTACAAATACTTCCCTTTATATGGGGATACAATAAAATAAGTTTATTGTGTAGTCAATATGAGATTAAACACAATTACCTATTCACAGTTATTTTCTTAGTTACATTCCTAATATCTCTCAATCACCGAATCTCTAATTTATACTCCTAATATATTATCCCTAATATAACTATAACATTATTGACTCCATGATATATTCCTTAATACTCCTTCTCAAGCTGGAGCATGTATGATTTACATGTCCAGCTTCTTACAAACAGAATGTACTTACTCCAATTTATAACACGACTTAAAAGGCTGAAATCTTCAATGTGACTTTTCTCATTGTAGTTAGTCTTCATCTTCTAGTCTTCTAGTTGAATGTCTTCCACAACGAACAACCTCAATCAAAATCACCAAATGTGATACCTCCATCTTCTTCACAGATCGACCAAACGAAATGATCCTCTTTAGGGAATTACCAAACAAACGATTTGTACCAGGGATCCACCAAAGCAAACGATCCTTCTAGGAATCCACCAAACAAATGATCCTCCTCAAGAAACAAATAATCCCCCTCGGGATCTAACAAATGATTATTCTTTAGGGATCTGCCAAACAAATGATCCTCGTAATGATCTAACAAAAGGATGATCCTTCTCGCGGTTCCACCAAACAAACAATCCTCTTCACAGATCAACCAAACAAATGATCCTCTTCATGAATCAACAAAAAAACTCTTTATAGGTGGTCAAGTTTTCTAGAATACAAGCGGTGGTGGCAGCGATGTCTGCAAGTTGGGTAGGCAGTGAAATAAAGGGAAATCGAGATGGCACAGGCGGTGACGAGAATATATATATCGAGGATGACTATTGCTATCAATAATGATAATCCTGATCATCAACAAGGCCATCGAACGCAAGACGGACCAGAATCGCTGGTACTATTCACGGTAATCTGTCATTGTGACGTTGTTCAAGTGAACTGTTACTGCGGTAGTGTTCACGTAAACAATCACCGCCCCCTATTCATGGTGACCTGTCACCGGGAAGAAGGGAGGTTGTAAGGCAGAGGGAGGAGTTTGATGGTGAGGGATTGAGGGGCTAGAGTTTGTGAGGATTTAGGATTTTGTGGAGGTTAGGGTTTGTGTGGCTTTAATACCGTATTAAAAAAATAAAAGATTGTAGATTCTCATTCATATTTCAAAAGCTACAACTACTCAATATAGGGAGATAATAACAAGAAGTTTATTGTGTAGTCAATGTAGGATTAAATACAATTACCTAATCATAATTATTCTCTTATTTACATTCCTAATGTCTCTCAATCATCAAATCTCTAATTTATACACCTAATATATTATTTCTAATATGACTATAACATTATAGATCTCCATTATATATTCCTTAATAGAGACCATTATCCATAGCAATTAAGTTGTCATAAAACCCCTCATGAGTAGTTCATGAACTAAAGCTAATTCCTACCTTCAGGCTAAACCAAAAAATGCTAGATACATCGAGGAATACGTGAAAGAATCAACTAAGAAATATGGGATTGATTATGATTATAACTCCAGTTAAATAGATTCATTAGAGTTTTGTTAAAATTTTTGGTTCTGAACTTGGCGCCATGAGTTCGAAGCAAATTAATTTCCCAGAGGACTCTTAAAAGAGAAGTGCGTTCATAGGAAAAGAAGGCTAGATGAGCAGCAATTATACGTACATCATTCTTCAAGGCCTCATGCAATTTGAGGCATCATTCTTCAAGGCCTCATGCAATTTGAGGTATGCAAAACAAAGAAACATCTCCTCAGATTCTTGTGGACGAGGAAGTTGGCTGTTAGATATTAGAAGAAAGATTCTATGGAGATTTTCTCATCTCTAATGATGAACATAATGTGGAAAAATTGTTCAATCTTCATCTATTCGTTTCCCACACACTGCGCTGAAGTTTCTCAAACAACTTGTTATGACAGTCTTATCAGCTCGTATAATAGTTTCTCAATGTGCTGTGTTCCAGTTGATATGCTTATTATCTTTTATATTTCAGTAAACAATCATGGGCTTTGGTGCTTATTTGTTGTGACAAATGGAAGTTTATATTGTCATTGTTATCTTCCTTGGCAATCTCCTCAATTATTTACTTTTGTTTTAAATTACTGTTTAATTTTTATATCGTGTTCTACATTTCAAGCAGGTGTACCTGATAAGTGCATAACTAATTTTCCTGCTATTTTTCATTTCTGGAAATTTCATGACTTCAGGGAAATCGCTTGCACCAAGGATTGCTCAATCATTGGCAAAAGTTCACCTTTAGTCCAAGGTAACAGTTGTTATATCCTTACATGTTATGCATATATGAAATGTAGGCTGCAAAAGTTTCAATAAACCTGAACCTATAATTGGATTACTACTCTAGTTTTTCCTTGTGAACTAAACTTGGAAATCTAACATTATCTATAATATATATTTGAACGACAGGGTACATAGCAAAAAAACTAGTATAGTGTACATGTGTTGCATGTAGACATACTTATCTCATTTTCTAACATATATATTCTCTATTTATGCCATCCGAACAGGGGCGGATCCAGGATTTTAGTTCTGGGGGGCCGTGTACAAAAGATGGATAAAATTTTTTCTTAATGTAATTTTATTCACAAGAGATATACCACAACCCAAATAAAACGAGTAGAATAGCCAACATCAATATCTCCAAAATATTTCAAAAGAGGAAGACAAATATTATATAGAAAATAGTCAAATAAGCATCATCTATTTTTTTATAACTAAAATTTCTCTAACTAAAAGGAATTCGACGTTCCTTAAAATTTTCAAAGTCTTCAATGATAGCATCAATGCTCAGACTTTTAGCAATTTCTCTTTCAATAAACACCATTAATGCGTCGGAGAGGAAAGCATCCTCCATTTTGCTTCGAAGCCTAGTCTTGACGATATTCATAGCATCCTCCATTTTGCTTCGAAGCCTAGTCTTGACGATATTCATAGCTGAGAATGATCGTTCTGCAGTAGTAGTAGAAACTGGAAGAGTAAGCACAAGTACGATCACTCTAAAAATGAGGTCATATGTAGCAGATTTATTAGTCTTTACCAACCATTGACACAACTCAGAAATGGTTGAAAGAGTTTTGAAGTCTGACCATTTGACTACATTATGCTCATAATGTTTCAGTTGCATATTCAAACTCTCTTTTTCTTCACTTGTAAAATCTTGTGCATAAAATTTGCCAACCAATTTGCATATATCTTGTATTCTCAAAGCCTCGGATGTATTTTGAGGATTTAATGCAGAACTAAGCATGAGCAATTCTGTCGCATCTTCACTAAAACGCACATTAATTTCTTGCATTTGTGAATCGATCGTGACATAAAAAAAGTCTACTCGATAATGATGCCCAATGGTGATGTCTTGATGACTACGAGCTCGACGTCGTCTATCAACATACTGAGCACTAAAATCAGGAATATTAATGTTACGAGCCACACAAAAAGACTTCACTTTTTCAAGCAAATTATCCCACTTGTCATCCCCTAACTCTTGTAGTAATCTTTTTGTAGATGACACAAGCTCCATTGCATTCGAAATGTCTTGAGACTTCCTTTGTAAAGTCTGGCAAAGAAAATCTGTGATCCCCATAATCTCACTCATTAGATGTAAGATAAATACAAAATCGAACGAAGTCATTTCATCATAAACAGATGTTGCATCGGCTCGTTGGGAAGGAAGCCCATCCTCCATAACTTTGAGCAATACCGTACATGCTGCACTGAACATCCTGATCAAACTTGATAATGATCTGAAATGAGAACTCCAACGCGTATTAACAGCTTGTTGTAAAGTGCTGATCTGATTAAGTCCAGGCCCTGTCTCGAGTTCATTAATAGAAATCAAATGGGCAATGTCATCCGCGTGAGCTTTCTTCAATTCATCATTACGCTTGCAAGAAGCACCAACCATATTAACTATAGAAATTAATTTATCAAAAAACATATGAATGTGAGTCAGTTTTTTTGCTGCCGCAACAAGAGCTAACTGTAGCCGATGAGCAAAGCAATGAACATAGTAAGCAGTCTTACAATCTTTCATAATCAAAGCTTGCAATCCATTGAATTCACCCCTTATATTACTGGCCCCATCGTAACCTTGACCTCTAATATTTTGAACATCCAAATTATAATGAGCCAAAGCAGAATGTATGGCGTTCTTTAAAGTCAAAGCTGCAGTATCGAAAATATGAACAAGCCCAAAAAACGTTCTTGAATGAATCCATTAGTGTCCACAAACCGCAACACAATAGACATTTGCTCTTTTTTTATGACTCATCACGGGCTTCATCAACAATAATGCAATACTTGGCAACTCCAATTTCTTCACGAATTGTATTTTTCAATCTCACTGAAAACACATGCAATAATGCAATACTTGGCAACTCCAATTTCTTCACGAATTGTATTTTTCAATCTCACTGAAAACACATGAAGTATTTGTTTTTTAATATCATGACTTGTATATTTGGCATTTTTAGTAGCTTTCGCAATTGCCTTTGAAAGTTCATCATTCTCCATGGCCAGCACATCCAAAAATTTAAGAAAATTGCCACGATTGGATGAACTAGATTTCTCATCGTGTCCTCTAAACGGAATCCCTTGGAGTGCAAGCAATCGCACCACAAGTATGTGAGCTCTTAACCAAAGACGATTTGTTGTAACTTGTTCAGCATTGAAGTTGTCGAATCGTCTTGATATATGCTGCGGTTGGTTCATCAAATCCTCACATAACTTGTTCAGCATTGAAGTTGTCGAATCGTCTTGATATATGCTGCGGTTGGTTCATCAAATCCTCACATGCCTTTTCAGCATTACGATGGAGTGAAGATACATTATCTTTTCCTATTTTAAGGAAACCCTCTTTATTAATCCCTTAAGAATAACCCCCTTTATTAATAAACCCCCTTAAGAATAACCATTCGCTAAATACCTCTCCATAAATTTCCAATTTCAATGAAACCCCCTTTTATTAATCTTGTTGCTGTTCATGGTAATGTATTTACTATTAATATATACATAAAACCCCTCAAATAATTAATATTCACAAACTAATTTTTTCTCCAAATTAGGAATAGAGCACTCTAATCCCCCCCCCCCCCAAAAAAAAAAAAATTTGAGGGGGCTTGAGGAATAGAGCACCCTAATTTTTTTCCCCAAATTTTGGGAGGGGGGGGCGTGACCCCCCGGACTGTATGTAGATCCTCCCCTGCATCCGAAATATTCAAGAAAGAAAAAGATAGATATTAATGAACTTTTTGTGGTGCTTTTCAAAAGAATTGAAACCCTAATTCATTGCTGTGATAACTTGGGCTTATATAGGCCCCTATAAAACACAACTTACAAATAAGTCCCTATATATTACTAATATGTCAACACTCCTTAATATGGGCGAAAGATATCCACTAAGTCCATCTTGTCACATCCCCTAATCATATCTAATGAGCTAAGTCCCTTAGTCAGACAATCTGTTGCCTGGTCCTTAGTTAAAACATAACTTAGCTCCAGTAGTCCACTATCCAACTTCTCTTTGATGAAGAACCTATCGATCTCGATGTGTTTGGTTCTATCATGCTGCACTGGGTTGTTGGCGATACTGATAGCTGACTTGTTATCACACCACAACTTCATCTTAGCTCCTTGATCCAGCTTCAGCTCCACCAGCATACTCTTCAACCATAGCAACTCAGCAACTCCTAAAGCCATAGCTCTATACTCTGTCTCAGTTATCGATCTCGCCACCACCGACTGTTTCTTGCTCTTCGACGAGGCTAAGTTGTCTCCTATAAAGATGTAGCATCCTGAGGTGGACCTCCTATCATCAGCACAGCTAGCCCAATCAGAGTCGCAGTAACCCTCAATACTCACATGTCCATTCTTTCTGAATATCAGTCCTTTTCCGGGGGCAGTCTTCAAATATCTCAGAATCTGGTACACAACGTCCATATGACCCTTCCTCGGATCATGCATGTAGTGGCTCACCACGCTCACTGCAAAAGAGATATCGGGATGTGTGTGACTCAGATAGATCAACCTGCCCACCAGCCTTTGGTATCTGTCACGATCAACTAGTTCTCCAGCTTCAGCACCCAGCTTGAACTTCTGGTCGATCGGTGTAGTTATAAGTTTACACCCTAGCATCCCTGTCTCTTTGAGAAGATCCAGTGCATACTTTCTCTAGGATAGGACAATCCCCTCCGCTCCTCGAGCTATCTCTATTCCAAGAAAGTATCGAAGCAAATCAAGATCTTTCACCTCGAATTCCTTACCCAGTCTCACTTTGAGTTGGGCAATCTCCTTCTCATCATCCCTTGTAATAATCATATCATTCACATATACCGCAAGCATGGTGATGTGACCTTCATTTCGTCGAAAGAACACGGTATGATCGGCGTTAATCTGCTGGTACCCCATACCTAACATAGCCCTCCTGAATCTATCGAACCAAGCACGTGGAGACTGCTTCAGCCCATAGAAAGACTTTCTGATCTATGTCGAATCCTGGCGGAATTTCCATGTATACCTCTCCCACCAGATCTCCATGAAGAAATGCATTCTTCACATCTAATTGGTATAGCTTTCATCCATCATTTATTGCCAGAGAGATCAAGGTCCGAACAGTGCTCATCTTCGTCACCGGTGCAAAAGTCTCATCATAGTCGATGTCATATGTCTGACTATATCTTTTTGCCACCAGATGAGCTTTGTAGCGCTCAACATGTCCGTCTGGATTCTGCTTCACAGTGAAGACCCACTTGCATCCAACTGCTCTCTTCCTTTTTGATAGTTTTACTAACTCCCAAGTGCGGTTCTTCTCAAGGACCCCTAGCTCTTCGTGCATCGCCGTTTTTCACTTTGGATCTTTCTTAGCAATCTGCCAATTGTTAGGTACAGTAACAGAGTCCAATGATGCAATGAATGCTCCATGTGCAGGATGAATGTTAGAATATGATACAAACTGGGCAAGATCCAATCCATATCTATCGGGAGGATTTTTCGCATTACTACGAGTAGTCCTCCGTACTGATATTGGTGTGGGAGGAGTAGGGAGAGGAATGTTAGCACCTTGGGATGAATCTGGTGGTGGTGTCGGTGTCTCAGGAGTCGGGGCAGGCGTTGGCAAGAGACTTGGCAGCACTAGTGACATTGTAGGTATTGTTCCTGCAATTTGCTTCCCCTTCCTACTATAGGTTAGTAGCTCCCCTTGAACCGTGGGTCTTACACCTCTTGTCTCATTTTCCTTTTCTTCTTCATTCTCCTGCTCCTCCTCAACTAATTCTCCCTCTCAAGGAATCGATACAGAAATTGATTTCTCCACATTATTCACCGATCTCTCACCATTCTCCTTCTCTCGCCTCATACTTCTAGTATTGGGCGAGTTATCAACGGATGAAGTTACCTTCCGGGTGTAATATGGTTCGAGTTCTCGAAAGTGCACATCCATGCTCACAAACAATCTTTTCTCCACCGGGCTCTAGCAAACATATCCCTTCTGAGTAGCAGAATATCCCACAAAGATGCACTTCACAACTCTAGGGGCAAGCTTCCCGACGGATGACCTGTTGTCCTTCACAAAGCACACACAGCCAAACACTTTAAGTGGAAGAATCCCACCATTATCTCCCTTCAACGTCTTACACGGAGACTTCCAATCCAGTACTCTCGAGGGCATTCTGTTTATCAGCGCTACTGCGGTCAATACTGCTTGCCCCCATAATATTTTTAGGACATTCATAGAGATCATCATGCTTCTAGCAACCTCTAAAAGATGTCTGTTCTTCCTTTCCGCTACCCCATTTTGAGCTGGTGTGTATGGACAGGTTGTCTGGTGATGTATTCCCTGAGCTGATAAATATTCTTCAAGCGCTCTGTTGGTATACTCTGTCCCATTATCCGACCTCAATACCTTCACCACTGCTCCGTATTAAGTCTGAACATTCCTATGAAAGCTTTGGAAGCAACCAAACACTTCACTCTTATTTTTCATCAGGTATAACCAAGTAACACGAGAAAAACAATCAATAAAGGTAACAAAATACTTGTATCCATTCATAGAACTTGTGGAACAAGGCCCCCAAACATCTGAATGTACCAAGTCAAATGCATAAGAACTTCTATGATCAGAACTAACATAAGAGCTTCTAGTAAGCTTTCCAAACTCACATGCATCACACACAAGTTTCTGTTTATTTGCTTTCTCAAATAAAGATGGATACAATCTACTTAAAACACTAAAGGATAAGTGTCCCAAACGCTGGTGATGAAGCATTAACTCACTCTCAGCACTCATTTTAGATCATACTCCTGCTTTCTCTATGATTGATATCAACGCTGAATCCAACCCTTCACGATCCAGATACCACAGTCCATTACGCCATGTGTCAGTCCCAAGTCTCCGCCTTGTCCTCTTCTTCTGAAAAATCACTTTGGGAATATCAAAAAAAATAATGCATTTTAGTTGGAGGATGATAGCACTAATGGACAAAAGATTGACTGGAAAGGAAGGAGCATGCAAAACATTGGACAAAGTTACAGAACCAGTACAATCGATTGTACCCTTACCAACCACCGACTGAAATGTACCATCAGCTGTTTGAATACTATCAGGCGATACTAGGTGAGTATATGATGAGAACTCACTAGCATTACCTGTCACATGTCGAGACGCACCGGAGTCGACTATCCATTCTGATGATCTGTCGGGAGACATAGAAGCAAGAGCATGTATCTCATCAGTACCTTTGGTCAGATGAGCATAGGTAGCAGTGTTGCCTCTGGCGAAGAACGAAGTTGATGCCTCCTCAGTCCCACTCCTCAAGTTTCCATCATCTGCTACTTTCTGCTTCCTCTCGAGTATCGCCAGAAGAGCATAATCCTCCTCAGTAAAGACCACATCAGCTTCTTCTTCTCCCTCTGCTACCATCAAATTCGCCCGGTTGCCTGCTCCTCTTCTACCTCGTCGACCCCCACGGCCACGATCACGACCTCCGAACTGTCCACGTCCACCCGAATCTCCTTCCTTGGGTGGTTTGGTGCAAGCATGCCTTAGATGACCCACTTCACCGCAGTTGTAGCACTGCCGAGTCTCTCCCCTGGATCCAGTATTGCTAGATGCTGCCAATGCTGACTTCACCACAGGAAGTCCATCTGTCCCCGCCTACAGCCGAATGCGAGTCTCCTCCTGGATTATAGCAGAGACAGCCTCCTCAAGCGTGAGAATCTTCGGCTGAGCTAGTAGCAAGCAATTCGCTGAGCGAACTCTGATGTCAATCCCTTGAGAAACATCATAGTCCTCTCCTGTAGAAAGGCCTCTCGTTCTTTACATCCCGGGTCCTTGCATCTCGCCCGAGGTGAGAAGTGATCATAATCTAGTCACAGCCGCTCCAGCTCTGTGACATACTCCTGTACAGTCCTATCTCCCTGGACTGTGGCGTCGATCTCTCCCTTAATCTGGAACACCCTCAGGTTATTCCCCACTCCATCATAGGTCCTCCTCAACTTTTTCCAGACGTTCTTCACCTTCTCAATGTCATCCACTGTGGCGGCGATTGACTGGACCAACGAGTTGAGGAGCCAGATGTACACCAACATATGAGTGGACTTCCACTCATCTCTTCCCTCCAAGTCCTCATTCGGCTCTGTCGCCTCTCTTGTCAAATAACCCTCCGGGTTTCTCCCTGCAAGGGTGTATCTCACCCGTCGCGACCAGCTCAGGTAAGTACTCGGTCCATCAAGCTTCAGATCGATAGTCGGAAGCTCCAACTTCTTCGATGATTTTGTCGCGCTCTCACCAGCCGACAACTTCATCAGCTTCATCAAAGTTGACACCTCCGCAGGGTTCAACTTCTTGATGATCTCCTCCATCGAATAGGCTTCAGACCCACCACCTGTTCACCTTCTCTTCCGACCCTTGTTGTGTGCAGTAAAAATTTCGGCAGCACCTCTGCTGCACAACAAGAGTAAGATCTCAAATAAATTCTCGTTTCTCAGAGGAAACAATAATAAAAAACAGTGATATATCTCATCATCGTGAGATACACTCTTCCTGTCATCAGTTCGATGACTGAATTGAGGGAATCCATGCCAAACTCTAGGTTCGACATGGTGGCGGTGGCTAGAAAGAGACAGCACGGGGGAGGGTTCGAACTGCAG